CTTCATTTCCCATTCCCAGTGGCCAAATTCCAGTCCCAGCAACCCAAATCCCATTTTCCCAGTCTAAAAATAGATCAATCCCAGTTCCCATTTTACCCCTTCAGGACCCTCATAAAATGACCACATGATACAAGGGTTATAGCAAGGGTTATAGTGCGTTCAGTGTGGCCAGGGCGTCTATAAGAATTCTTATAGGACTCCCTGGTATGGTTCACGTTTCGAGCGACGTTCTTAGGGCCTGTTTATATGATCCCGGCCGGGCGGATGGATCACTGGATGGGACTGATGACTCGATCGGATCGCCAAGCTGGGACGGAAAAATTCCCATATAAACACTTCATCCCGGCCAGACGGGATAACTTTTCTCTTTTGAGCATGCGTAAATGCTTTTTTCCCAAAGGTATGACGTCAAGCACTTAATAAATGGCTTCATCCTTGCTTCATCCCGGCAATGTATTTTGTCCATATCTGTGGTCCATACAAACATTTATGAACACGCTATTCCGCCTAGGCGAGTTTCCTAGCCTAACGTCTGTACACAGGCTAGAGTTTCCCGGCTAGGCGGGATGAAAACGTCCCATCCCGCCTAGTTGGGATCACATAAACAGGCCCTAATTTATAGACAGGAAGATACACATGAACTCACTGCTTAAATTTACTGTATTGAAGCAACAAAAAGTGTCCATCTGTATCTTTCTATTAATTCTTCCTAGAAACGAAGTGTGCCTTTCCTCGAAATGTTGAGAAGTTAGTTATATTAAAAGTGTTGACGCGCGGTGTTCGGTGAATTGTCATTTGTGTTTACAGTAATAATGGAGCGAAAAACTGTTTGTATATATGTTAGAATTAACGGGGAGCAGTTGTCACTATAAAATACTTTTGCTTGAAATTTTTATCTACAAACACAGTAAACAGTTCCGTTTCGACGAGCGTTTAGATTAAAAAATAAAGTGGTTATTTGTCAGGGGGGATCACTGGCCACTGAGTGGGTCGTGCTATTTCTTGCAATTACAGTAACAAATATTAGAATTCTGATATCTCGAATATCGATTCCGCGAATATGTCAACAGCAGTGAATATAAACTGTATGCGAAAATTATTACACTGTTTGAGTGTCATTGGTTATTTTATGGGAATATGATATCGAATCGAACAAAACTCGAACTTTATACCCCCGGCAACCTCATGTCGCGAAATTATTGTTTTCTTTCACGTTTTCCGCCCGCGCTGTTGATACATTTTATAAATATATTTTGAATAAATTCTAATTCGTAATAAACATTTTGCTACCATTTCATAGCATTTTTTGCCTGAATATCTGTTAATATTAAAAGAGCACAAGCCACATATTTTACGCCGTATCTTATAAATTTTGTTAATGATTTTGATAATTTTAGTATGATCGGTATGGTGCAGTTAATTTTGGGCAGTTGCAAATGTAAATTCTGCCAGCTATGGACACTGCATCGCAGTATACTGAAGTATCCCATATAGTTCATAAAATTAGCCTTTTTCGGGGCGAAAATCGCCCAAGAGAATCACTGTAAGTTGAACTATAAATGTTTGACATAATATCGCCTAAATAGGTCTGCCCCCAAGCAACCGGGGATTAAGAAGTATAATTTTTGCAAAATGATAAGTTTCGATTATTTTCACGGGGGCATTGTTTTACAATTGCCGTGACGTCACCATACCACATGCGCTTTATGCTATCCTTTCGCCCTTTCTTTCTCAATATCATTACTAAACGATACCTAAAGCTAGATTATCGAAGCAAATCCTAAATTTTATTTTGTTTTGCACACTGTTATCACTGCTACAAAGCTTGGAACATCTAGCGTGCTTCACAGAGAGCATTTATACCTGGACTGTGGAGTTATTTGGAGCACGTTTACGAATTTCTTAATACAGTTTTGAAACATACAAAATCAAGCCAAGAAACGCCATCCAAAATGGCCGGTTTTATCCTCAAGTATACGATCTTCCTGATGGCAAAATAGGAGAGAAAAGTTGCCCATACGAGGTACCAGTGTAATTAATATATCGTATTTATAGTAATGTTGTTTATCTCCAGTATTTTGTACGACGATTTCACATCCTACAACCGTTTGTTGAATTTTTGAGATCACGACATACTCGATTCCTTGTGAACCGTCCCTCGTCAAGTTGTGTTGTTAATTTCAATATGTTTAAGAACCGTGTCACAAGATGGCACCCATTTTCAAGAAATTGCAGATTTTGATCTCCTATTCTGTTTTACACATCACCAAAGTGCTTATTTCCCTCCAATTTATGTAGTTTGTCCATTTTCTTTATTTCTAAGGCGAGCTGATGTCATTTAGCGTGTTTTCCGATCCTACAAACTCCGCGTTTTCTACGGAACGTATACACAGTGTTGTACTGCTTCTTCGATCATTTTAGTGCAATGGAGCCAAATGATGTGCCATCCCAGAGTCCAATACATTCAACTAGGACGTTCTTCGACTCTACAATGATGGGTAAGGCAACTTTGTTCTTGCTTAAAGCACTGTGCATTCAAATACAATTTTATACTACATATCCTAAGTTATGATGTTTAAATATTCTAAAATCTTGTATTTTTCCATCATAGGACAACCCTCAATCCTTCAGTCTCCCCCATTACCTCATGAGCACAGGTATGGGCTGGCGCCAATGCCGTCTGCATTCTCTGTGATTGGGAGACGTCCCCCTAACTTTCCATCAGTTAATTCACATCACCATGATTTTACAACAAGCCTAACGCATGACCCACTGATGGCAACAGGTCCTCGAATACAGAGAAGCCCTACACCTGCAACATCGAGCAGTTGGTGGCGTCAACCATCGATAAGCGCTCACCCTCAAAATATGAACAATGCAGATTATTTTGGTAATCCCTTACTGTGGTTACCTCATGAGCAAGAACACATGAGACCACATGAAAACTTAACCTATCATAATTCTGCACAAGCATATCGAAACTTTGATTTCTTAAATGGATCGTCACCAGGCAGTTACTATGCATCGACTCCACGTTTCTTCCCAGAACCTGCACACAGTTTACACAGTATGCCAACGCTAGGTAAGGATAGACCACTAAGTTGGGAAGACCGACTAGGGCATGGTTTAATGTTAGATGTCAGTGGGAATGGATTTTCACCTTGGCAAGATATGCATCAACAAAAAATGGTTGACAGACAGCAGAAACAAATTATGCAGGAATCAGTGGAAAAAGAACGGAACATTATGGGTATGACAAATAATAGATCGTCAAACTTTACTGACAACAGCTCAGTGAAAAGTGTAAAACAAAGCAATAAATATTTGGAAAATCACAATTCAGGCCCATCAACAATTGCTAACGACTCTCGACTAAAGGTACCTAACATTATTCCACCAAGTGAATCATGCCTTAATGTACCTGTTATTTCAAACGATTCTCGTCACAATGTTCCTGGTATGCCCAATAGTTCAAGACTTAATTTACTTGGAATGCCAAATGAACCTCATCTAAAAATACCGCCTATCTCAAGTGAATCCAGTTTTAATATTCCATCACTAACAAGCGAGCCTAAACTTGATATACCATCAATTACTAATGAGACGCAGCTAAATGATGCATCATTGTCTGATGATTCGCGTCATAGTGTAACGTCAAGTTCTGGTGATACTCGGCATGGTATAACTTCAATAATTGGTGATTCTAGGCTTGATGTACCAGTTGTTACCACTGAATCTAGACTTAATACACCACCATTGATGTCTAAAGAACCACCTCAAAATCTACCACCATTATCTAGTCAGTCTCAGCAAAACATACCACCAATGATCAGTGAGTCTCAACAAAACCTACAACAAATAATGCGTGGGTCTCGCCAAAACCTATCTGAGAACCAAAGTAGACTTTTTGTTGAAAAACCTATTAAGTACCCTCATGCAGATACAAACATGTCTATAGGAAATGCTGGAAGATCACAACCTGAGAGAAGCATCCAACAGCTACCTTCAAGTACCGGTATACGTGGTAGGCCTATTAGTCCACCTAAACCTGATTTACCTGCAAATCTTGATCTATATAAACGAGATACAGTAATAAACACATTGGAAAGTAATACGAGCAATGCACCATCTATTTTTTCACCACCAGCGTTAATTAAGTCAGTTCCTGCACCAACAATCAAGTCTAGCAAGCCATCAAGTGGGTTGCCAAGTCCAATCAAGATACATCCAGCTAGACCAACTGGCGGTAAGCCTCCTTTACTAGAACGGTTCCGAGCTCCAGCAGTTCCAAGACCTGGTGGTGACAGTAGTAGTGATGATGGTAGTAGCGATGGTGATGATGAGGATGGTGAATCTGGGAGCGACAGTGATAGTGATGATGATGGTATCAGTGAAGATGGGAACGATGATGATGATGACGACGGAGTAGAGGAGAAAGTAAAGAAACAACCTGGACAATCTCATATTCAGCAGCTGCAGAAGCCACAGCAGTCACAGCAATTGAAACAACCACAACAAGTTGGTCAGCAGGTATATTTTATCATGTTTTATTTCTTATTGTGCCAATTTCCAGCTCACAAGGCTTAAAAACCCTTTCATGTTATGCCATTCATGAAATACAGTCATGGTGACTTGCAGAACAATCAAAATTGCTGATTAGCCAATTCATAAATAATTGGTAACAGATCACAATGTGTAACCAGCGGATTAATCAGCCCAAGCAAAGTCAAATCTGTTATAATTTCTATATCTGTTTGTCTGTCCATGGATCAAAGAAAATCAACAAAAACAAGTGCCTGTAACCCCAAATTGATTTTCAGATTATTAAAAGTATGCTACCAGTAGAACAGTTTTACTAAAAATATTTTGCATTTGGTTGTGCTGTACATAGGCTTGGGCAGTTTACCAGTTTTTCATTATTTTTTTAGTTTTATTTTCAAACCTTTTTTCGGTTTAGCTTTTATTAACAGCAGAGTATCTTAGTTTGGAGGTACCGTAGGTGCCGTTGGTGGGCAAGGCTAGTCGGTGATCTAGCCTTGCAAGGCAAATGACCGCAATGGCAAACATCAGGCAAAACACTGGCAAACATTTATGGCAAAACTGGCAAACAGCTATGGCAAAACAGCAAAAAACATAATAATAAGGCTAACTATAGTAGCAATAGGAGTTTGCCATGACAATTCTGCCAAGGCAGTCCTCTGGCACCCATCACACTGTTAATCAGTGGAAAAAAGGACGCATTCTATAGTAGTCTATAGATTTATCCCATAACCGAATACACACATGACAAAAACCAAATTAAAAAATTAAAACAAATAAATCAATAAAAATAAGCTAAAATAAAAAAAATAAAGAATTGAACCCGAGTGTCAACAGGCATTAATCAGGGCGGGGAACGGCCGAAGAGGAACAGAGCGAAATAGCAGTTGTTGCTGGCTAGCCACGCTGTAGCAAAGTGACAGATGCGCAAAAATTGCCACTGTTCTAAGTGATGTCAGGGACTCCCCGTTGCAAGGTCGCAGGCATGATTCATCTGCCGTTAACTTCGCTTAAATCTACGTTCAACCACATAAAAAAACGGAAAACCGTCATTACGTAATTGTTTACTGTCATCGCCCAAAACTCTATCTTAATTCTGAAAACATGACACTAATTAAACTCCAAATTACATGACACTAAATAAAAGTCAGTAAGAACTAAAGAAGTATAAGTTTTGATTATGTGTTCTTGACCCTTTTATTTTAGAGCTGAAGGCGTTTTAGGTTACCTTTACATTTTGTGTTTTGTTGTGTACTGTTTTTTGCTTATATCAAAAAAATACCACAATTCCTTCTCATTTAGTTGAAGTAAGGGGAAAAAACCCTGTTTTAGTTTAGAATCAGATGGTTTTTCGGTTTTGATTTTAATTAAGCAAAACCGCCCAAGCCTAGTTTACACAATCAGTTTCGAACAAACAAGCACGCTCTTCTTTAGTTGTGTACTTGTACAACCCAGATTTTTTAAAGTTGCATATTTCCATAGTCCTAGCGCCTCTGTGGAGCATCTTGTTATGCTGAAATTTAAATACAAACGCGCTCCTGCTGAAACAGCAGCTAACCGGCATGACGTCACAAATAATGCTTGTTCCAGACTCCAAGCAGTTAGACATTCTGACAGCCATGTGCCAAATAAAATCACAATATCAGCAAGTCCTTGGAAGTGGCTCTAAAATTTTTGCTTTTTAACCAAAAGCAAAAATTTCTTCATGAAACTATTCGTAGCATTGCATACTTTTAATAAGCTGAAAATCAATTTTGGGGTTACTGCACTTTAAGGTTCAGTCACACGAGACAACAAGTTGCAGGAACAATTGTTACATGGACAAATTTCATTGTATGACATGTGAAGACAGATTTTTGTTCCTGCAACAGGTTGCACTAGAAGTTCATCCATGCAACATGTCATTGGGACAAAATTAAAATTGATCAATCGAAGAACATTATTCCCACAGGGACGTGTTGTAAGACTAAGTGTTGCTCTATGCGACTAGTCCCTGTGACGTGCCTTGTTTGACCGAACTTGTATAGATTTTTAAAAGATGTAACATTTCAAACAATTGGTGCATACAGTAGCAAATTATGGGTTAGTAATCAACCAATTACCAACTTTTAGAGTAAATTGGCTGGCATTGGACAGATGGGCATATTTGGGTACATTGCAGCTTAATGGGATAAACAGCATCATGGGTGGCCATTTATATACTGTAATTGCCGTAATGCAGACTTGCAGACCTGCCAAACCCGCCAGTTATGCCACTGGTTTTGGCGTCCGTTTAAGGCTATATGCAAATTTTTCAGAATGTGGGTTGCTTGATATATAATTAATCCATTAAGCTGCAATGCACTGAAATACACCTTTATGACTTTACTTTACTTTGTCTAACACCAGATGATTTTACTCTGTAAAACACCAGACAAATTTTTTCATCAAGCAGAGTCTTCCATACTGATGGGTTACAGTAAGTAGCACTCATGATAAAAATCCAGGCTCACAGATTGAAAGCTTTGCAATAATAACTATGCATGGCATATATCTGTAAGTCTTTGCATGGAGAAATCTAATATTTGTTTTGGTTTGTGATTCCAAAACCAGCACACAATCTTGAACTAGCATCTGCTTGCCTTACCTTACCCTGCAATATACATAAACATTCAGTGAAAATATTTGCAAAGTTGACTAATTGTGATTGGTATGTGACAGAAAATGTATGAAAACAGTAAAAAATGTCCAAGCTTACTGTAGAATATACTGTACAGTACATACTGTGTATTTGTTTTGTAGAAAGCAGAAGAAAGTAGTGATAGTGAAATGGAGAGTGGTAGTGAAGAAAGTGATGGGAGTGATGATGATGATGAGGATGAGGATGATCAAGATGGAGATGCTGAAAGCAATGATGGAAATCAAGATAGTGATAATTCTCAAGAACAAACATCTCCTGGGAAAAGAAAGTCTACTGCTGATTCTGGCAAGTCCAACTTTTGTATAGTAGAGTTCCTTGATTAGTTCCACCCCAAACCCTACTTTTTCAGTGTTCTCGTTTCGGCAAAAACTGATAAAAAAACTTAATTGAACATCCATCCCTATTCTATACTAAAATGTATTTCAGCATTAAAGAAGCTGTACTCCAAAAATTGACCTCCCCTTGACATTGACAGATTTTCATATTTTGCTTGGGGGGATAGCAAAGATTTAGGGGGGAGGTGAGCGACAGGGTCTGGGGCCCAGGAAAATTTTAGATTTTTTGTCTTACTTAGTTCAAAGTCCTTATTTCAATCACATTACTGTCATTTAATCCAATGAGCATTTAAATTTCTAGGGTGTGTGTGCAAATTTCTCTAAGGGGGGTGGGAAAACATTCTGGGGGGGGGGGTGCAAAATATTTTGGGGTATGCACCCCAGAAAATCTGCCTATGCCCCTTGATGAGGTAGTACACAGTGGTTAATATTCCTTTCTAACTGTAGGTCCGCCACGTAAAAGAAGAATAGTTGTTGTTGATGAAGAACTGATGAAGATTCCCCTAGAGAAAGGGTAATAATAGTTGTTTGTTTAGAGGTGTTGAGGCTTGAGAAAAATTCCTGTGTGTCTCACACAGGGCATGTCCTGTAAGAACGTTATTGGTTATACTTGTTATACAGCAACATGATATGATGCAATTAAAGACGAGTAATCCTTGTCATTTATAAACCCAGAGTGGGGGGAATTCTGTGAAACATTGCCCAACACTTCGAATAATATTTTCCAGAATGCCCCAAGTGGAGGGTCTATATATATTGATATATTATCCTATAAGTTAAAGAACCTGCTAAATTGAGAATAAATGTTCTAAATAACTAAGTGAATACAATGTTTAATTTTTATTTGTACCCAAGTTTTTGACGTTTGAGGGTGTTTATTGCTGTTTGTACAGGTGGAGACGTCAAACAAAGTTGCGACCAGCAGTTAGCAGTGGTGGTTTACGAGGAGATGTTTATTATTTTGCTCCATGTGGCAAGAAAATACGAACATATCCTGATGTGAAGAAGGTAAGCCTTGCAAGGATTCTAGTCAAAGTAAGGGCAGAAATATTTAATATTTTCTAACAGGAATTGATTAAAAAAAATGTAATTTGGCTAACAAGAATGTCACAAAGAAATAATGCATCAAAAAGCTAATTTAATAAGTTAGAAGGTTACATATAGGTACAAAAACTAAAAGTAATATATTTTGAGTACTTTGTTGTCATTTGTTTGACAATGGATAGCATTTGCTTATTACAGTAAATGCGTCTACTGATTTGGCATTGAACATATTTAGTTGACAGAGTTACAGTATATAAATTAGATCGTTTTTGTTCATGGAATTGGCCTACACTGTGTTTTAGTTCTGTTGATATTTTGATTGATTGAATTGTTTTTCACTGTAGTATATTGAGAAGAATGGAATCACAGACCTGGACTTGGGACATTTTAGCTTTAGCATGAAACTTCATCTTGGCGAGTTTTTGGAATGTACTCAGGTATCTTTTAAAAACATCTTTCTGAAAGTAACAATTTAAGGTGGCTCGCTACAGTTTATAGAAATGTTGAAAATGCGTAAACTAGATCACCTTTTTGAAGAGATGATGCTCTTTACAAATCGAAATTTGTATATTATATATACAGCGACAATCAAGCAGTCGAAAATTGGTCAGAAAAGTGAAGTCACGACTGTTGCTATGGCAACAATGACGATTCAAGATGGCCGATATTTTGGCTTTGAACGCATTTTACTTTAAAAAAAGGTCGGTTACCCCCATTTTTTATTTCAGAAAAGATTTTCTTATAGTGCAATGCACTATCTGACCAATTTTAAAAAAATTCTGTAATGCAAAAAAAAAATTATTTCGAAAAACCATGTTTATAATTTTTTTAAAAATTTGGCATTACAGAATTTTTTTAAAATTGGTCAGATAGCAGGCCTGAATATTAGCGGCCGGTCACGGTCATTGTCCGGTACAAATCCGCAATTTCAACCGTTTTGACAGGTACTATTTCGAATGCGTCGGTCACTTTGTCCGGTACATGGTTCGGCAAAAATCATTGTCCATTTTGGGACAAGGAACCTTTAACGATCGTCTTCTAACTTTTTGAGAGCAATCGTGCATGTTGACACATGAGATTGACTAAAATAATTATTTCGCAAAGAATCGAAAGATTGCATAATACCCAGTGGCGTAGCCAGACCTTCATTTTTGGGGGGGCGAAGCGAACGCCGAAGGCGCGAGACCATCTATGGAGGTCCGGGGGCATGCACCCCCGTGAAAATTTTGAAATTTAGAGTCCCTGAAATGTGATTTCAAGCATTTTGGGGGTGAAATCTTGCAGAATTCCGAAGATTATAAAGTACGCTCTAGGGGGGTTCGGGGGCATGCACCCCAGGGAAAATTTTAAAATTTAGAGTCCCTGAAATGTGATTTCAAGCATTTTGGGGGTGAAATCTTGCAGAATCCCGAAGATTATAAAGTACATCAAAGACATAAATTTTCCCAGACATTTCTAAGTTTCTACTCGCTTTTATATATGATACAGAATAAGTCTGAGAAGAATATTCATGTTATCATAATGCATATACATGTACATCTAAACTAAATCTATTCCTCTTGGAACCATATCTACAACTGTTTTAACGAGATTTTAGAAATCAAGTTCTTCCAGTATTTCGTCGTTTTCCTCAGTCGAGACGTACTTAATCCGTTTCAGCTTCGAGGATGGAACCTGTACCCCCCCCCCCTCATTTCTCTACGGATTTAGCCTTTTTCAGAGAATAGTTTTTTTGCGATTGGGGGGGCAACCGCCCCCCCTTGCCCCCCCTTGGCTACGCCCCTGATAATACCACGCATTGGTGTTGCGAGTTTCTCGCGATATCGAGTCCAGAATCCGAGTGGCGATGAGGCGTGGCGCTATTGTAACAAACTAAAGTATAGTCATAGTTATTATTTGAGCATTTGGACTTATTCATTTTTATAGAGATAGACATGATTTATTGATTTCATGACCTCATTCACTAACTTGACCACTTGAGTTCAATTATTTGTTTCTAAACTTTCTATAAATATAAATAAATAAATAAATGTTCCCAGTATTAGCACTTAATTTCTTCAACTGCAGCACTAGCTTGTCTAGCTACATGCCTACATATGACTTTTGCATGTCCTATTTACTATTAGTCACTATTAGTTTAGTAATTAGTATGGAACCAAATATACCGATGCTTGTTTTGGTGACCGATACATTTTATTTTGTGACAGGCACAATTTCATTGATGCTGGTCATTGTGACAGGCAGGGCACAAAAA